AAAAATAATTAATGACAGCCGGTCAAGGTTTAAGCTTTCATAGTTATATTTTTAGAAATCTGAACATGTCAATATGTTGGCAAAAGCTAATATTACAGTATTTGGTGGGGTAGATTAATAAGCGTTATTAATTATAATGATAATGAAATTAAACTTGATGGGTGGCTATATTGGTTAATTTAACATTTAGGAAAAATTCAATTATCTGGTAAGTAAGGATCTTGGCCTCTCCTGAGTAGTACTTCAATGAAAGAAACAAATGTCTAGATCATAATTAGGTTTTGTTTTGGAAATTATAAAATAATTCTATAAAATCTCTAATGTGAAGTTGGAAACATAATTCACAACAGTCCTGTGTATGGATCGATGTGTCAGTGGTTTTAAACAGACAAAAGTAAAATTTAAGATTGTATTCATAACCAAGTGCCATGATACCAAAATATTATAGGTCCTCTGAAGAAACTGTGTCAGGTGAGTTGTTTTGGGACAGTGGTCAAATAGGTTACATGGCACCAGGGTTTTCCATCACCAGTTAGAAACAAAATTAATTGCTTGTTAAATGTGTAATGAGCAAAGGATTAAATTTCAGTAATTTTTGGGGGTGAGCTTTATTATTTCACCTGATAGATTAATGGTGTTTTTGAGTCACTATGGTGGGGTTGGGAGTTGATGCTTTGGAGTCAGGCAAACATGTTTTCTGGTCCAGCCCTGCCTCCTAGTAGTCATGTGACCTTAGACAGGTCATTTAACTTCTCCAAGCCTCAGTCCTCAAAATGGGGGTAATAGTAGAATCATTACCTTCATAAAGTTTTATGAGGATTAAATGAGATCATGCAGATAAAGTGCTTAACACAGTGTTTGGTACATAGTAGGTGCTGCGTAAATAATTTCTCTTCTTCCTTCTTCTTATTATTATGGCTATTACTATATTTTTGTTATTTCCTGTGTTCTTTTTTTGCTTCTCACCATATTTGGCACTACCTAAAACAAGTATTAGGGATTTAAGAAGCAGCAGTTGCTGAGTTCTTAAGACATACTAAGGATATTACCAGAAACTCATTGCATGAGAAAATTGGAAACATTTGAGATGCAAAACACAAGAGAAGTAGGAGAACAATAGGTATTTCCTTTGGATGGATTACCTCCAAAGATGTGTGGGAGGTCCCTCACAGTACTTTTCTTTCATATTAGGCTTATGCTGCAGTGCGAGACTGTTTTATGCTGCCAGACTATGGGGCTGGGCTTACAGGAATCAATGATGTTGAGATGCAGACCTCATAGCTATAACCTTCTTTATCTTTACAAGTCAATGGCGTATGTGAGACCAGAAATGTAATTGTAGACTGACCAGAAGTTTTGCAAGTTATTTTTTAAAAAAGCAACCATATACAAAGCACAGTGGAAAGTACTGGAAAGGTGGAAAAGAGAAACCTGAATCGAGTCCCAGTTCTGACGCAGTTTAGTGTGACCTTGGGCAACAAGTTTAAGTGCTGCATCTTCGGTTCTACTATTGAACAACAATGCGCTTGAACTCAGATGATCTCAAAGGTAACTTCTGGCTCAAATGTCTCCTAATTCTGTATTTTCTTAGATCTTGAAGCAATTATACGAAACTAATTTTTAATTCTTTCCTAGTTCAAGGTTGACTTGTTATAAAAACAGAAATAAAGAAGAAAATCTTGGGAACAGCATAGGACTTGGATTTAGGATTCCAATTCAAGTTTTTATGTTGAGCACCTGAGTGATCTTGGAAACTCCCTTTACCCAAGGTATCTGAACCCTGGGTGCACATTTCAATTCATCTGGAGAATTTTAAAATCACTGATGTTGGATCCCATTCTTGAAGATTATAAATACTCACACATCAGGGGGTTGCTAGTGTTCTCCAGGTGACTTGAATGTGCAGCCAGGAATGTACAAACACCAGTAAGTCCCTGGCTGGGTAATTCAGTTAGTTAGTGCATTGTTCCAATATGCTAAGAATGGGGGTTCCATACTAGGTCAGGGCACATACAAGAATCAACCAATGAATGCATAAATAAGTGGAAAAACAACTTGATGTTTCTCCTTCTCTCAAAAAAAAAATCAATAAATAGCCATGGCCAGGTGGTTCAGCTGGTTGGGGTGCTGTCCCATACAGCAAAGTGTTGTGGGTTCAGGTCTGGTCAGGGCGCATGCCTAGGTTGTGGGTTCGATCCCCAGTTGAGGTGCATATGGGAGTCAACTGATCAATGTTTCTCTCTCGCATCAATTTTTTTTTCCTCTCTCTCCCTCGCTCTTATCAATGAACATATCCTCAGGTGAGGATTAAAAAAATCAATAAATAAAACAAAAACCAGAAACCAGTGAGCTTTTAGTGTCCTTGCATCCAAGATGGAGCTCCTAAAAAGAATAGTAATAACTACCCTCTCTATATCACTTAATCAAAGATTAAACAAAGTAAAATAGTTAAACATACTCTACAATCTGTAAATGCACAGTAATTTTTAAAATAAATATTACTAAAGGGCTTAGCTATTGTTACTATAAAAATGGTAGGGATTAGTATTAGTATATTAATTCTGTTGCTGGAGTCCTAAGCTTTTCAGATACAATTCACTTGCTGTCTTGAAAAGTAGTTGAGGTACTGGAGGAACCCCCCTCAATTAGTACATGGCAATTTCCTTCTGCAGAAACTCCTCCGTGCTGCTCTGTGACCAGTGAGGGCTTAATCATTACATGTTGACTCAGTGATTATCCTTAACAAACACAATTCTTTCAAGTCTTTTGTAGCGTATATCATCACCACAAATCATCATGACATACCTGTTTATCCCTTTGTGCCATGGCTTGTAAACGCATGCAACTGTGGGATAAACTATCCTCAAGTTTATATAGTGGGGAAAAAAGTTCAACTGCTTCTCAAATTTATCCTATTCCACCAGGAATTCCTAATTAACTTTCATCTAATGTAATATCTTTTAAGAACTTAATTTATCTTTCTCTGACTTATTTCACTTAGCATAATACCCTCTAGGTCCATCTATATTGTCACAAATGGTAAGATTTCATTCTTTCTTATGGCTGGGTAATATTCCATTGTATATATGTACCTCATATTCTTTATCCAATCTTCTACCAATGGACACTTAGGTTGTTTCCATATCTTGACTATTGTAAATAATGATGCAATGGACATAAGATTGCATATATCTTTTTGAAGTACTGTTTTGGATTTCTTTGGATAAATACCCAGAAGTGAGATTGGTGGGTCATATGGTTTTACTTATGTGTGGAATCTAAAAAATAAATAAATGAACAAACAAAACAGAAACAGACTCATAGATACAGAGAACAATCTGATGGTTGCCAGATGGGAGGGGGTTGGGAGCTGGGTGAAAAAGGTGAAGGGATTAAGAAGTACCAATTGGCAGTTACAAAATAGTCACGGGTTGTAAAGTACAGTATAGAAGATATAGTCAATAACATCGTAATAACTATGTATGGTTTCAGGTGGGTACTAAACTTATATGGAAGATGACTTTGTAAGTTATAGAAATGTCTAACTATTATGTTGTACACATGAAACTAATATAATATTGAATGTCAACTGTAATAAGTAAAAAAAAAATTTAAGAAAGACCTTAATTTCAGGTTTCTCCAGTGGTTATATCTTTCTTCAGATATTTTCACAATTTGACACCTGGACATGTTTTTTTTTTTTATCTGTTCAACTATTCCACTAGAAATGTCTGTGACCATTGCAGTTTGGGTAATAAATACTTATGATTTTCCCAGTAGTGTTGGAATAAGCTGCATCTTGACTGCTGAAATTGACCCACTGTAGTCTATCCTTCAGAATGAACAGAGGTGTATTTAACATAGACTTGTAGACTTACTTTTCATGAACTTGAATCAGGTTGCCTGAGACAGCTCTGTGTCTGAAGAGGGAGCTTGCCGCCTTGAAGGTGCTCTTCAGTGTTGAGTCAGGGGACTGCAGGCAGATCACTGATGACGACAGGCTGGAGGAAAGGCTGTCACTGCAGGTGGTATTGCATCCTCTCAACTTTCATGCGTGTAGCATCCATGCAGCCTCTTCAAGTTCACTAGAAAATACATCTTAGCAAAAGACAGCTCTGCAATCTTTTCAGTATCTGTTTTTTTTGGGGGGGGCAAATGATTTCTGAAATTTCTCTCCATTGTCAAAGTTTGGGATTGATCTCTAAATGAAAAAAATGCTCTTTCCTTAGGAATCCTTTCAAGCGATGAACGTCTGTTAAGAATTAAGCAACTACTTATTCATTGTACAAATAGTTAACTTTTTTCTTTTTTAAAAAGTTTAAGGTTTTTTAAAAAAAGATTTTATTTATTTATTTTTAGAGAGAAGGGAAGGGAAGGAGAAAAAGAGGGGGAGAAACACTGATGTGTGAGAGATACATCAATTGGTTGCCTCTCATATGTCCCCAGATAGGAACCTGGCTGGTAACCCAGGCATGTGCCCTTGAGAATTGAACCAGCAACCTCTCAGTTCACAGGCCAACAGTCAATCCACTGAGCCACTCCAGCCAGAGCCAAATAGTTAAATTTCAATGAAACTAGGTATTTTGGAATCAGAGCCATGTAGACTGTTGCACATGCTTTTCTCCTCACAAGTATAGGAGATAATGCAATTAATGAAAGATTTAAAATATATATACATATGTATACATACCTATATAGTTACATTTATATATATGTAGTTAAAACAGTATGTTCACAAATGAAAGCCTGATTTTAACATTTTTTAAAAAGTTGAAAAAAACCCCACCGAAGACTATGTGTCAGAGACCATAGGACACACAAAGCCTAAAACATTTACTATCTGGCCCTTTATAGAAAATGTCTGCTGACCCCTGAACAATGTGGAAAGTACCAATCATAGAGCTCACGCATTTTTTACTTTCACCAAGAAGTAGTATACTGTCTTCTTTCCTTGGAGGTATTAATTTCTACTTGTAAAATCAGTCTTCACAGCCATCCTACAAAAAAAAAAAAAAAAAAAGAGAGAGAGAGAGAGAGAGAGAAGCCTTGAATAGCTGAATCTGTAACAGAACTCTCTGCTTCCAGCCAGCTCTGTGGCAGCTGCTCTTGAGTCGGAGCTGCTGCCCTTGGCCCTGGTTTGTGCCTCTGCTCTCACTCCCCTAAACTGCTCCGCAGCATCACGGCCAGCCACCAATTTGCTGTGCTCCTTCTTTGACCTTGGCTTTTGGGCCAAATGATGATTCCATTCTAATTGCTCTTGTGAATCTGCTGTGCTCTATTGCCCTAATTTTCACTTGCTTTCACCCTTTCGGGCCCCTCTTCTGTAGCCCTTTCTCTACCTTCTTTCCCAGAATCTCAGCTCTGCTGAGGCAGATCCTTCTAAATCTAGTTAGTATTCCTACCCGTACCCTCTGCTTGCTCCTGTCCAGGCCCAGTTTTCTTGCTGGTTTCAAGTGGGCCCAGTTCTGCCTCCTGTAACAGATGAGAGCAAAGAGAGGATTTCTGGTGGCTTCCCTCACCAGAGCAATTGAAGCATTTTTGTAATCAGTATGGACACTTAGGACACTGCTTGTACACACCCTTTATTTATTTTGTAATTTTTAAGTTACAGTTTATGTTCATTATTATTTTGTATTAGTTTCAGGTGTTCAATGCGGTGGTTAGACAATCATACATTTTACAAAGTGTTCCCCCTGATATTTCCAGTACCCATCTGACACTATAGATAGTTATTACAATATTATTGATTATATTCCCTATGCTGTACTTCACATTCCTGTACTATTTTGTAATTGTCAGTCTGCGTTTCCCAGTCCCTTCATCTCTTCCATCCAGTCCCCCGACCTCCTTCCCCTCTGGCAATCATCAGTTTGGTCTCTGTACCTGTGAGTTTGGTTCTGCTTTGTTTGTTCTTTTATACTGTGCTTTAGATACCACGTATGAGTGAAATTATATGGTATTTGTCTTTCTCTGACTGACTTATTTCACTTCGCATAATACTCTCTCGGTACATCCGTGCTGTTGTCAATAGTAAGATTTCATTCTTTTCTATGACTGAGTAATATTCAGTTGTATATATGAACAACAGCTTTTTTATCCACTATCTATTGATGGGCACCTGGTTTGCTTCCATAACTTGACTATTGAAAACAATGCTGCAATATACGTAGGGGTGCATGTGTTCTTTCAAACTAGTGTTTTGAGTTTCTTCAGCTATATATCCAGAAGTGGAATTGCTGGGTCATATTGCACACAACGTTTATTATGCTTGCTTAGCGTCCATACTGCTTGGTGCAACGTCCTTTCTATGAACCTTCTGGCCTCGTGTCTTCACCTATGGCTGCGGCAGTTTTCCATGTCCGCCACCTTGTCCAGGCCACTCCAGAGGTCCCTGATGCCCTTGGGGTCCAGTGTACATATCTAACCAGGGCTGCACAGCCCTCAAACTTCTGGTACATTTCCTTTTTTCATTCCATTCCAGCTTGCTGAGTCCCTCCCTCTCCTACCTGTGCGCATTCCCCCTACTCAACACACTTACCCAATGGTAAATCCATTCCAAACTACTTAATGAGAATATTACTAAATATAACAACTAAACTACTTAACGGATATTTAAATCTGTTTTTAACCTTCCAGTAAATGCACGGTTTGAGGACCAAACTTTTGGTAAATTTTCCCAGTGATTACTCCTTTCTGACTCATTATCTCATTTACTGACACATTATTTTGCCTCCAGCCATTAAAATTCTGTAAATAAATGCAGTCATTTGATTATAATGCAGAAGACAACATTCTTCTTTGTAAACACTCCTGCATGGAAATGTAGCTTATAACTGGTGGGTGGTCAGCTGGTCCAGGCTGACTCATAGCTTTAATTTTTGGAATAGGCTTTGAGAGGTTGTCGCTCAACTGCAACAGATGCCTTTCAAATAACTTTGTATCTGGGCATTTTTGGCCTTTCATTTCTGTCTCCATTCTTATTCCCTGAACACTTCTTCCAAGCCCTTTTTCAAAATGATACCATTATGTCCCATATCAACTAGGAAAGTCTAGCCAGGACACACTCGCCTTGAAGGAGGCACCCCCAAGAACATGGGCCTGCCTACCAGTAGGAACCGCGGGGAGGTGGAGTGTTCCCCAGCCTGCCCCAGTGTGACTCTGCTCCGTGCTCTGTGTGCTCATTTATTCATTCATGATATACTTTCTGACACCCTTCTTTGTGCCACAAATACCCTGTTTGGTTCTAGGGAAACAATATTGAGTCAAAAGGAAAATGTTTGCTGCTTTCACTGGGGAGAGGTGGCATCAATTACAAGTTTACATTAATAAATGTGTAGTAAATGAATATCCTAGCTCTGATATTCTGATAATGTTAGCTAAGAGCTAACATTAGTTTCTGACTCCCTGACAGCTCTGTGATCTCTGATCTCTGATCCCTGTCTGGACTTATTTGCCTCCCCCTCCTCCCTCCACCCTTCAACCCTGCTTCCCTCCTTCTCTCTTTCCCTCTTTGTTAAGTGGGGGTGGAGAAAATGGCTAACAACCCCGGGCGTCCTATCATTGCTACAGTGCTTTATACCCACATTCTTTCTTTTAGTTGTGAAACTTTTGGTCCTGCAAAGTAGGTGTTATTATTTCCATTTTAAATACCAATAATGGAGTAAGACAACGTTGTTATTATTCATACTGTCATTGGAAGGCTGCATAAACGAATGCCTGCATTAGGGAGTTTGGGGTCATATGCCACAGTTCCTAATTTGAAACTGTCAGATTTAGTGGCTGCTAACCTACCTAAATCAGGGACTCTGGGTTTACTTCTTCTTCTTCTTCTTCTTTTTTTTTTACAGCAGCGAGAGAAAAAATCTTTTTTCTTCAGCAGTCAAGACTGGATCTCAAAATTGGAAATGTGTCTTCCCTCATGCATGCCCCCATGGTTAAAAAACGATGCATTTCCTCAGTGAGGTGCTACACACTCGGTTTCTAATCTTCGTAATTCTTCCCCGCCAGAATGTCTAAATCCTTCCCGAATATGCCCAGTTACACTTTCTGAACTTTTGAGTAAACATCTTCGGCTTCTGCTTTCCGGAAAGTCCCCAGGCACAGGCTCAGGAACTGAGGCCCAGGCGGAGCGCCCCCGCGCCGGGGATCCCGGCGAGGGGGCCTGGCTCGCGACGAGGCGGCTCAGCGCCCTCGCCCGCCAGCCTGCCACGCGAGAACGTGCTTCCCAGCCCTGGTTCCACCGGCTGCCTGCGAGCTAAATGAGGAGTCGCGCTATTTTTACCCTCCCCGCTGCAATCTTTTATATATTTATTTGCAGGAAGAAAATAAAGTATTAAGAAGAAAATGCTTGGCGTTAGTTTTTCTTTTTATCCCCCGGAGAAGGAAGGGGTTGGACTAGAAAGGGGTCTGTGAGGTATGGGGTAGTGGAGAGGGCAGTCGATTTCTCTGCACATCATCCTGGTCTCTGGCCTGGAAGCCCCAGCACTCCTTCTTCCTTTCAGGCTCATCCTCGACTGACAGCTTCCCTTCCCCCACCTCTGGAGGTGCCACCGTCACCTCTGAAGCTGCCTGGGTTGCTGCATCACTCTGAGGCTTTTTTGCCTCTCCCCCCACCCCCACCTCGCCCCAATAAAGCATGCGCAGTGCATCCCGTGCCAGGGAACAGCATCAGCATCCTCATCCCCATCAGCAGCAGCAGCAGCAGCATCAGCTTCAGGACCCGAAGCCGCGCTCAGCGCGCTCTCGAGGGCAGGGAGCACGCCCGCGCCGCGCGCCCCCGCGCAGCTCGCTCCCGCGCGCCGGCTCAGTATCCTCGGTCCCAGCAGCCAGCCCCCGCAGTCGCTGAAGCGGCCGCGCCCGCCGCAGGGAGGGAGGAGCATCTGGGGAGGTTCCAAGTTGGCGGAGCGACTGGGACCCCTGGACTCTCAGCATCCGCCCCCGGAGGGCCTGAGACGCGGGCAGGGGAGGGGGCACCGCCCAGTCCCTAGTTCCCAGCCCTGACCCCCTGCCCGCGGCGGCACCATGCGTGCCGAGCCGGCGTGACCGGCTCCGCCCGCAGCCTCCCCGCAGCCTAGTCCGGCGCTCTCCCCGGCCACACCGAGCGCGCTCGGGAGCTATGAGCCATGAAGCCGCCCGGCAGCAGCTCCCGGCGGCCGCCCGTAGCGGGTTGCAGCCTTCCACGAGCCTCCAGCGACCCCCGCGGTGGCCCCGCCGGCCCGGCGCCTGCCCGCGCCCTGGCCCGCGCGCCTCCCTGCCGCCTGCTCCTCGTCCTTCTCCTGCTGCCTCCTCTCTCCGCCTCGTCCTCGCCCCGCGCCTGGGGGGCTGCTGCACCCAGCGGTGGGTATGGCCCCAGTGCCCTTTGCATTGCCTTGCCTGCTGGGCCCTGCAAAGGAAAAGGAAGGGCACGCGGGTCCGTGCGCTCCGGACACGTCCCGGGCTCGGCCTTTGCGCGCCTCCCTGCCTGCCTCTCCACCTTTCTCATTCCCAAACCCCCATTTATTCCAGTTCACTTTTTTGAAGTCCATTTCTGTTGCATTCACTAAAGACCCATTCTAATTACTGTCGGTTCCACTGGAATGTGTTTAGTGGATGCGGGGTCCCTCTGTGCAACTTGGCTGAGGGGAGCCCGGTGGACGGGAGATGCAGCGAGGGAGCAAGTTGCTTCTTGGGTGGTGGAGCCTGAATGTGAATGCGGAAGGATGTAATGATAATAGTGGTAATGTGTTGTTTCCTCAAATTACCTTCTGGGTTTATTCCCTGCTGTTGGAATTAAAGTGGGGAAGAGAAACTTCCGGGATATAAACCTTTGGTTTGTAATTTGTCAAAATGCCGGTCATTATAATGAACAATTCAGATAATATAATGTTCAATACAATTGGAAATCAGTGAACACAGAAAGCTGGCCTTGGCAGGAACGTAGAAAGGAATTGGAAAGCTGCCAGCATCTGCATCCCTCTATCGCAAAGGAGTTTTGCACATCTCAAAGTTAGACGAAAAGGGAATTGTCCATTTTGTT